CATAATACTGAAAGAGAGCATTGTATTTATTCATTCTGATATATTGACATTTTATTACATAAAATAATTGATTTGTTTCCAACAAATGTTTTCTTATTAGTTTTAAATTTCATCAGTTAGCAGTTTTCACCTAACAAAATGGTAACACCTTACAAAAACTATATTTTCACAATGGACTATGGCTGCAGCTGAACATTTTAGAATTCTTAAAAAAAAAAAGTACCTGCATTAACAAATGGGATTCCATCATATGGGACATACTGGGATTTCCACATCAAGCGTGTAGCAGGCTTGGCTGGGCTTGGAGATTGGCGGGTGCCCCAAACACTCTGTGTTTGCTGCTTGTGAAATGTTAGGACACTTTCTAATTCAGTCTCACTAACACAGAAGCCACGATAAGAATCTCCAATTTTCTGCATGTGGTAGAAGTTAAATAACAAATTATTAGCAAATATGACTGCTGTTTCCTTGTATATTACTTGTCCTAAGAACTCATTAGCTTTCATAAAAGAATGCCATTCCTTCCCTCAGATAGTGGTTCATTACAACCAGTGGTTCTAATTCAACCAGCATCATCAAATAATTACTCTCCAGGTATTTGCTAGAGAATATAGTACCAAATTAACTGATACATTATGTTTATGAATATCATGACACAAATAATATATAGGTAGGATAGTCTGAAGGACATAGAGTGTATCCTTTCTTCCAGATACTTAAAATTCTACCCTTGGATCAAATCAGATCTGTATAAAAATCTACAAAGTACTGGTTCTCTATGGGACTAGTTTAACTGAAACTGATTTTGATAAAATGTCACGAGTCTATTTGAAAACTAATGAAACGGTGATAATATTTCCTATAAAAATGTTGAAGTTGATAATGCTAATTAATATAAAGTTAATATAAAAATGTTGAAGTTGATAATTATTTCTCTTGAGAGAAATTCCTGCCTAGCTTTAGGCCCCCAAATAGTGATTGGTTTTCCTTTTATTTATGAAAAGTTACCATAATTTGGAGTCCTGGTGTAACGCTGAAGGTTAATGCACTGAACAGCAAGGTCAGTTTGAACCACAAGGTCGGCGGTTCAAGCTCACCAGATGCTCCTGGGAAACCCTATACAGGGTCACTATGAATTGGAAGCAACTTCACAGCACTTACCAACAACAATGTTCATAGAAGCTAGACAAGTGTATCTCCTATGTTTACAGAAGTCCTGTTATGGCGCTACCAGATAATGCACTGGACCTCAAGGTCGGTTTGAGCCACAATGTTGGCAGTACAAACCTCACCAGCCACTCCTCAGAAACCCTATATAGGGTTACTATGAGTTGGAACTGACCCGATGGCACTTAACATATATATACACACATATATTAAGATATGTATTTTCTTACTTCCATTTATGGCCCCACTTTTGTTTTTCTTTATTCATTAGCTCCCACTTTTAATTTCCACCTTATATGTTATATATCTTTATAAGGTGTCTTTTCTGGATCAAGGTATAACTAAATTGCTATTATCAATACACTACAATTTGAGTATCCCTGCACAATTGTTGTTGTTGTTGTTAAGTGCTGTAGAGTCAACTCTGACCCATAGTGACGCTGTATAGGGTTTCTGAGGAGCAGCTGGTGAGCTTGAACCACCGACCTTGCAGTTCAAAAGGCTTTGTAATCTGGCACATTAACTCACAGTGCTACACCATGTACAATAGGAGAAGCTTTTTCTACATCAATAGAGAAAATTCCTTAACTGTGATCTCTTACAGTGAAATGCATCGTTGTTGTTGTTGTTAAGTGCCGTCGAGTCGGTTTCGACCCATAGCGACCCTGTACAGGGTTTCCGAGGATGTAAATCTTTATGGGAGTAGAAAGTCTGATCTTTCTCCTGCGGAGCAGCTGGTAGTTTCGAACCGCTGACCTTAAGGTTCACAGCCCGATTCTTAACCACTACACTACCAGAGCTCCTTACAGTGAAATGCATATACACCTAGAATTGACTCCAACTATTTTTTCTATTTAGAGAGAATATGGTAAAAGATGGGGAAATAAAGATCCCTTTGTTCCTCATTGGACTAAATATTTTACCTGGGAAGAATACATTTTACAAAAAGAAAGGTATCAAAATACTGTTGTGATTATACTTTGGGCCAAAATAAACAAAGATTAGCCAACAGAGATATTTCTTTATAATAATATCCACTAGAAATAAAAGCAGAAACATAAAGTCTAATTGTAATAATTTTCATATAAATGAACTGAAAACAACATATAATAATGTCAATAAAAGAAAAATTCAGAGTGAGGTACATTATAATTATGCTATACAGGAGGAAAAAGTTTAATATGGTATTGAAATCTGTACAATTCACTTGGATCAAATATTGATAATGTCTATAAGAAAAAATACTGAAATGGAAATTTAAAAAGCAAAAACTATTACCAAACATTTTGAAGCAAAATACACAAAAATTTTCTTCAATCATTTACTGAAAATGTTTTTCCCTATTTGTGTAGCTTAATAGAGGAAAATGACTCATTCACTAGGAGAAGTTATTCAGTTTGTTGGACAATTTAGTTTCTTATATTTTACTTTAGGGAAGTTATACAATGCACCACAGCTGTAAAATGAGGTGATGTGATCATATGATAGCTAATGCTCTAAACTCACATCATACTGTAACAATTATAATGGTGGTTTTTAAAGTCCTCATGATGGAGTCACAATTAGTAACTCTAGGAAGACACTGAAAAACTATGACTGGCTCTCTCCCTTTCTCTGTTATCACGGCATGTGCAATCAGCTTCCGTTCTCACCATGTCTTCTCACAAGATGTTCAGGATCAAGAGATTCTGATCAAGCAGTATGATTCTATCTCCAATGGACTCAAATGAAAACTGGTAATAAAATTGGTACTTCTAATTCCTAGATAATGAACAAGTTTTTTCTCTGTCAGTCCTTAAGTTCAATTTGTTGTTGTTAGGTGCCATAGAGCCAGTCCCGACTCATTGAGACCCTGTACACAACAAAATGAAACACTGCTCAGTTCTTAACCATTCTCACAATTGTTTTGCTTGAGTTCATTGCTGTAGTCACTGTGCTAATCTTGGGTCAGGCACACTTTAGTCCTCAAACTGCTATCTTTGCTCTTGAACACTTTGGTGGTGTTGTTAAGTACCGTGGAGTCGGTTCCGACTCATAGTGACCCTACACAGGGTTTCTGAGGCTGTAAATCTTTACGGGAGCAGACCTCCTCATCTTTCTCCCGCGAAACAGCTGATAGTTTCAAACTGCCGAACTTGAGGTTAGCAGCCCAATTCGTAGCCACTACGCTACCAGAGCTCCTTCTTGAACACTTTAGAGATGTATTTAATCAGCAGATTTGCCTAATGAAATATGTCATTTTTAAAAAATGTTTTATTGTGAATTATGTGATAGTTTACATGATAGAACATTAGCTTTACATTCATCCTATCGTATATCGTTTCATTGCTATGGTTACAATCCCCTCCATGCATCATCAACCAACCAAAGGGTATACTCTGCAAGCCTGCCTTCCGGTCATCAGCACACAGCCCCTCTCCCTCTCTGGGTCTAGAGTTCCCAGCCCCTCCATCTCTCCATGTCATCATCCCTGCCTCCATCTCTGACATCACTGTTTCTCTGGGTAGGGTCCCCCACTCCACTCTTCTCCTTTGATGGTCCCAGGGACCTCTGCTCCTAGACTGCAAAGTCAATCACTCCCCTCCTTTTGCTACAAAACGTCTACCTTTACACTTCCACATCTCACAGCCAGTCCTGATACCGAATTATTCACTATTGTACTACAAGAGACCTATCCCCATCGCCTTTCATCAGTCCCGCCCAAACAGACTGGATACTACTCAGAGGAGATTCTCCTTTCCACTGTGCCCTCTAGATCTAGGTTCCCATTTTTTTTTTTTTTTTTTTGTTTTATTGTGAATTATGTGATAGTTTAAATTGGAGAACATTAGTTTTACATTCATCCTATAGCATATTGTTTCATTGCCATGGTTACAATCCCCTCCATGCATCATCAACCAACCAAAGGGTAAACCCTGCAAGCCTGCCCCCCACACTTCCCAGGTCTTCAGCACACAGCCCCTCTCCCTCTCTGGATCTAAAGTCTCCAGCTGCTCCATCTCTCCACGTCATCATCTCTGCCTCCATCTCTGGCATCACTGCTTCTCTGGGTAGGTTCCCACTCTCCGCTCTTCTCCCTAGATGGACCCAGGGACCTCCACTCCTAGACTGAAAAGCTGATCATTCCCCTCCTTGCTACAAAATGTCTACTTTACATTTCCAACCATCACAATCAGTCCTGATAACAATTATTCACTATTGTATCACAAGAGACCTATCTGCGTTTCATTTTATCAGCCCCGCCTAGACAGATTGGATATTACTCACTGGAGATTCTACTTTCCTTCATGTCTACTCAGTGTATTGAGGGGGTGGGAATGATCCTCACTGTAAGGATTTGTACCCTCTTTTGAGATACTGCATCCATAGGTGTACGTCAAGTTCATCAAACTGTATCAGATTATTCTTTTTTTCCTCTTCTTTCTTCTTTCTGTTGAGCTCTGATCATCCAGTAATCAGTTGGACTGTGGTTATTCTTTTGTATTTTTCCTGTCGGTCTGTCTTTCAAGAAGTATCTTCTGTTCTTCTAGCCACTCCAGGCTGGTCTGCTTGTCTTTTCAAGTGGAAATTTCTCACCTCAGAAGATTCTGGATGGGGTTCAGGAATCCACCTATGGTCTTATGTAATGCAGAGGTTTGCAGGAAGCCTCCTTCACTGGGCACATTGTAGCCCCATTTTAGGTATTCCAATCAGTTATAGGCAGAAGACGGACTTACAAGCTTTCTACGGTGATATTGTCATTTGATTTCTTGACTGCTGCTTCCATGTATGTTGATTGTGGATTCAAACAAAATCACGTCTTAGACAACTTCAATCTTTCCTCCATTTTTCATGTTATTTATCGGTCCAGATATGAGGATTTTTGTTTTTGTTACATTGATGTGCAATCCATACTAAAGACTAGTCTTTGACATTCATTAGTAAGTACTTTAAGTCCTCTTCACTTCCAGCAGGCAAGGTTGTATCATCTATGTATTACAGGTTTTAACGTGTCTTCCTTCAGTCCTGATGCTACAATCTGCTTCATATAATTCAGCTTCTCGATCACTTGCTCAACATACAGATTTAACAGTATGGTGAAAGAATACAACCCTGGTATAAAGTATGTAGGGAATGAGAATCATTGCAATGACATGAATATGACTGGAATCATTATAATGAAACGAACATGATAGGATGAGTATCAAACTGATGTTCTCTCATGTAAACTATCACTCAATTTGCAATAAAAACTTTTAAAAAAATG